GAGGAGGGGCGGAGCCGAGGGCTGCGCGCTCACCCGACGCACGCGCCGCGCTCCCTCCGCCGCTGGTGCGCCCGGTTCTCGGATCCCTGCGTCCGGGGTCGGGTGTCCTGGCGACTGCGTATCATTCCTCTCGTAAACTGGCCGACTTATAATTTAGTTTTCTTGGTGTCTAAACGTCTTGTGTGCCGGCTTCTTGAGGCCCTTGCGTCGCTTCCTCCTCGCGCGGCCTGCGAGGGTAGTTGGAGGCACGTCTCCCTGCGCAGGGAGAAGGGCGATCCGGTCCCTTTGGTTGCCCCTTTGCCGGAGGGACCTCCCAGCAGACCTTCAGGCTGCCTGTCTAAACCTGCCCCAGGCCCTTACCGCCCTCACAATCCGGTTATCACGGCAGCGCTCCACTTTCCACTGTCAGCGGAGACCAAAGACCACACTTTGCACCTTTGCTCCCGCCAAGCCCCTTTAAGGATTCAGCACATACTTTGTATTTCCATCCGGACCCAGATAGTCCGTCTTTTCGGGTGGAAAGGTTTTCTTAATCTAAGTCTTGTAATCCAACCTTGTACCCCACAGCGAAGTTGAAATAATACGTTAATTTAACCGTTGGTCCTGGGGTGTGTTTTTCCTTTAGCAAATACGACTTTTAGAGTCTTAGAATTATGTTGCATTAGATTATCTTTGAGATAATTCTTAAGTTAATGCTTGAGGCCCAGTGATGGGAGGTTCAAAGAAGAGGCTTTACATTTTTTCCCTCTACCTGTATCACAGTTCGAAATGGAAAACGTGAGTTGAGGGTGACTTTCCACAGGAGGTGGATTTCAGTTCGCAGCCCCCAAGTGCTCAGGCTTGCCTTGCTTATTTGATACTACCACAGAAGTTGATTTTAAAGCTTCACATAGTGATCAGGTAAAGGAGCTGCAGAAAAGAAGTTCAGTATAATTCAATAGAGCTATTTTATTGGATTCTATTAACCTGTTTAACCTTAAGCTTTAACCATGACAGGATTTTCATGTAGGAACCCACATACCAAGTGCAATATTGAATTTTAATTAATGCATTCCAGGTCTGATGTGGCATAGATTCCTCTCAGTTTCCACTCTATTTTATTATACATTTTCCCTTAGATTTCTATACTGTACTTAATGAAACAGTTTTAATATTGAGGGTTGGAGGAGAACCTTTTGAATTATGAAACTGGCATGCTACTGAGAGAAAAATGGGATTTTATAGAATTATTATTTTGGTGGCTTCTTGAAGCCCTTGCTTTAAGATGGCTTCTTTACTCATGTTGAAAACATGTTGACATTTTAATGTTAAGATCCACAGAAGTATAAAATTTTTGCTTTGTGGGGCTGCAGTTGTAGCTCAGGGGTAGAGCCCTTGCCTACCATGGGTGTGATCCTTAGCAGCACATAAAAATAAAATAAATAAAATAAAGGTATAAAAATACAATAACATTAAATTTTATTTTATTGTTTTGCTTTGTACAGGACCTTAGCAGTGTAATCCAACTCCTATTATTTTACAGAAAAATAAGGAATCCAAGAGTTTCTTGAAGAGATTTTGCAGGAGCTGAAGAGAACCGGTTGTCTTAATTAACTAAACACTTATCTAGGTAATTCAGACCTCCCCAATGGATATTCTTGTGCCAGAGTTTATCCTTATTATTTTTATTACTATTTTCTTTCAGTGCTGGGTATCAAAAATCCAGGACTTCAGTCTGTTAGGCAAATGCACCTGAGTTATATTCCCAGCAAACTCCCCCCCACTACTGTTATCTTAAAAAAAGCCAAGTAATTACTGATTTTTTTTTCTTTTTTCTTTTTTTGCTTTGAGTATGTGCTTTACTTTGTGATTTGGGCCCACTATATAAAAATATACAAATTATTTATACTTAGAAAATATGTACATTCTTTCAGTTGAAACATTGATTTCTGATTTAGTTTGCATTTAGTGGTTATTTTTTACATCTTTATTCATATTCTTGATTCAGGTAGTCTGCGTTACTGCCAGCAGATTGGTATTTACAGAGTTTTAGGATTGTGGTGTATGTGACTTTGATATTAATTAGGAAAGGAGGAGTAGCACCCATGTAATAATTTAATAGCAGCATCCCCAACATCACTTTTTAACTGTGCCTCAAGTGCAGGAGTCTTGAAGTTCTTGTTTTCTGGGGTGAGTTTTTTGTATTTCTCTCAGCTGTGTTTGGATTAGGCATTTAGTAAATACCTGTGGGTTGTGTGCACTCTCCTAGTAGGGGCTTCATGAAAGTAGGACCATGTCTTATTAATCTGTGTAGTAGGAAATGTATAAATGCTTGTGATCTTGTTAGTAGAAAAGTGCCTGGAAGATCTGAATCACCATATAGTAAACTTGAAATAACTCATTTTCATCTTGTGTTGAACCAGTTAATCTGAATTCTGATATTGAAAGATAGCAGGGGTCAAATAATTTAGAAAAGTTGAGAGGACTAACAATATTAATTTTGTTCTTTAATATTTGTTAGTTACTGTGAAATTAGGAAAGGACACCATTATTTAAATTTAGTGATAGAACAATTCAATCAGACTGGACAAGTACAAAGTTTGTAGCAGACTGAATTTTGATAACCATGAATTGATGACCCTCTCATTGTTTCTGTAGACCACATTTTAAAACATTGTTTTCACTTTATAAGGATTTATTTTTCAGCATGGACACCTTTGTAAGGAATATGATTTTTGGAATTTAGATTACTTTGGCAAACTATACTGAAATGATATTTTTAATTTTTAAGCTCAATTTAATAGGTTGTGCTTCATGCTGGTGAATCTTAAAACACTTTAAAAAAGCCAAGTAGGGCTGGGGATGTGGCTCAAGGGGTAGCGCACTCGCCTGGCCTGGCGTGTGTGCGGCCCGGGTTCAATCCTCAGCACCACATACAAAGATGTTGTGTCCGCCGAAAACTAAAAAATAAATAAAATATTAAAAAAAAAAAGCCAAGTAATTACTAATTTTGTTAGACTCATTCTTACCTATTCTTCAGTAGATCAGAATAGTGTGTTCTATTTATAAAAGAAAAACAAACAAACTAAAGAAAGAATTTTAAGCTTTTTTATCCCTGAAATTATCACCACTTTATCTTTTGAAGAACTTTGGTAAAATTGTGGTCTAGAGCTTTGGTAAAATTTCCGTCTAGCACATTAAAAGCCAATTCCGTAGAGTGATTCCTATTTAAACATATAGAGTCTATATGATAATAACCTTCTCAGGGACAGTATTTTTGAATTACCTTCATTACTCCATTGATATTATTACTGAAAACAAATGTACAGTAGAGTTGGATGGTGTTTAATTTGTATGAAGCAGTCATCTCACATCTATTTTTGCTGGTTCACTTGGCCTACCCAGTGCCAGATAGTCCCTTTCACCAAGACTGAAAATACATAAAGCACCTCTCTTCCTGTCCCAGTCCTCTGCAGTGGACTCTTGTGGAGTCATTCTGGTGCCCTGAACATCTGTTGTTCACAGAGGTACGATCTAACATCATATCCTTGGCATGTACTCAAATTTACCTCTCAGATTTTTATTTTAAACACATTTCCTGTAAGGAGTTTTAGAAATATATAGCATAAACTTCTTAACAAAGTATGTATGAATCATCTAGAATATTTCAGTATTATATAGATAGAATTAGGATTTAGAATTAGACAATTAATAAGAATTAGAATATTTAGTACTTTTCCCCCACACTTGCTAGGGTCACGCTTATGTCATTTAAACAAGTGATGAAATTATTTTTTGAGCTGAGTGTGATGGTGACTATCTGTAATTAAATCGATTTGCGAGGCTGAGGTAGGAGGATTGCAAGTTTGAGATCAGCCTCAGCAACTTGGCAAGACTCATATCAAAAAGGATGGTGACGTAGCTAAGTGGTAAAATGACCACTGAGTGGTATATGTATACATATGTGTGTGTGCATTTTTTTTTTTAAAAGCAGTCAGAGAAGTAATTCCACAGTTTTTCTTTAGTTGTAAGTAGTCTATTGATTTGACATATTTCTTTTGTGGTTCCTTTTTGTATTCCCTGTCCCTTGTGGAACTGGAGCCTTGTTTTCAACATGTGATCTTGGTCAGTTTTCTCCTAGCCGTTGCTCCTTCCAGTGGGGAGCTGGGACTTGTTCTTGTCCCTGGTAGATAGATGGTAAAGGTATTGTAGAGCCAGTATACTGTGATTTTGCCTCTTGGATTCACCCTCACCAGATTGACTCCTTAGATACTGAGAGCTGTTACTATTTTGAATGTTTTTTGAGGATTAGATTTTCATTTGTATTAGGGACTCACAGATTCATGCATTCATGAGTTAGACCCCTTTTCTGATTAGCCTTCTGTTCTGTTCTCTGCTGCCTTCTTACTGGAGACACTTCATGCATACTTTTTGTCCAGTTCAGTGATAGCTAATTATTTTCAAGTGTTTGATTTTTTTGCCCTTGTCTTCTCTCAGTTTTGGACTTTCATTTGATCAGGTGGCTGTTATATATTCTTATAGCAAGTCATTTCCTATGTTTCCTCTAGACTATATGTACCCCAAGGGTGTGACTGAGTGAATCTATCTTGATCTTGGTGATGTCCTCAATGCTCTGTATAGTGCTTGGCACATAGCAAGTTTTAGGTAAGTACTAATTAGGTATATTCATTCTAATAACAGGTTCTATATCAGTGTCAGAAACCAGTGTTCATAGAGAAATTTCAGATTCCTTCAAGAAGTGTAGATATTACATTGCCATCATTAGGAGTAGAGAGTGTGTATATTTTAAATTATAAAATTATATATTCATATAAAAATGGCTGTTATCATTCATCTTACAGGATATTTAAGAACTTGTAAAATTTCACAGTGTTTAATTGTAAGGCATTGCACATTTCAGTTTTTCATGATTTTGACAAATATGTATATGTTATTTTATATTTCTTACACAAGAAAGTTTTATGGCACTATAAAGAAGTAAGTTTAATGTCTCTATTTTTGTCCATTAGTAAATATATACTGAAGAGTAAATTCTCATTAAAAGACCCTTAAATGCTTGCTCATTAAAAAAAGAGACCTCTTTGATTTTGCTCTTCATACATTCCTAGTTATTGTATTAGACAAGTCATCAAATTCTTTAGAAGTCTAAATCTTTAATTTGTTTTCAGAAAAGTAGTCATGTATTGAACACCCAAATTACCATGTCTTTAACAAGTAATGCTAACACTCTGTATTAAAAAGGTAATGACCATAACTTTTATTGTAGAATTTCTTGTACTAATTTTTAAAAGAGAACTTTTGAGCCAAATTTCCCGTGAAGACCCAAACTCATACTTTTAATGATAGTGGAGTACATATGTATATGTAGAGGGGAAGGGGTTGTAATTTTTGTGGTGGTATTTTTAAGTGGACAGTTTACTAATTATTTTGAGGTAAACACTTTACAACTCTAAAAGGAAAACTTCAATTATCTGAATGAAATGAGGTACATGAAATTAATTCAGATAAGTGGGGAATCCTTAGTGTAAATGATGCATGTCAAAGGGACATGACCTCAATCTTGATTTTTTTTCTCCCCCTATATATCTGTCAGCTGCTTTTATGTTACTAGATTGTAATTCCTTTTATTCATACTAAGAATCATTGATGGGAGGGAGGTAAAGTTGCTCTACAGATTTTTTTTTTTCCTTTGCCACAGAAGAATCCCTAGTGGTAGTCTGTGCTGAGCATAATTGCTCATCTCTACCCTGTATTGCCTGCCAGTTTTAGGTGGTACACCACAGCCTTCCATTTTGTCACCTTCCTGTCAAATGTGTATGGAAACCCCTTGAGACTACAATTGAATTGAAATTAAAGCCACATTTCTCTGTTCAATTTCAAGATGTTTATCCTTCCTAAAAGTTGAGTTTCTACAAGTTGTAAGGGTGAATTGAGCTGGATAAACCTTGTTTCCTTCTCTCTTGACTTGCTTAGGTTTTCATATTAAGCAGTTATTTTGCAGTGTGAACCCTTAAAATATAAACAAACCTCAGGGCCTGACCCCTGACCTTTGTAAATCCTAAGTTGAAATGGAAATTTTAGTCATTGGGGTTGAGGAAAATGATTTCTGCTGCAGTTGACTAAGTTTTGCAGTATTCCTGGGTTCATGGCATCTGAAAGCTATTGTGTAATCTGTAGCAAACCCCTATAGCTGTGATGATATTGTCTTCTAGGCTTTTTGTTGTTTTGTTTTTAAGTGGAGGGAAACTGTTGCAGCCACAGAGATGTGGGCTGACACCTTTACAAATGAATTTACTTTTCTTTAACATTACTATAGGTTCTTTACTTGAAGCACCTGAGAACATGCCTTTATTTTCAGCATGTACCAGCTTTCTTTTCATCTCTTGGTTTTTAAGATACATGATGATTCATATCTTGATTGCCTTGGGTAGTATGTGGTATCAGCAAGCTCTGCACCCAGACCTGGTGAGCAGCTCCTAGGTCATTGTTTGATGTTCCCCTAAGTATGTGCAGATGGTGTGACTAAAGATTTTGGGCTTGAGGGTTAGCCCAGACTGATTTTGACTCTTTACCATTTATGATCAGTATGCCTCTGAGAAAAATTAGGTA